AACTTCCGCTAGAGCTTCATGAGTATGAAAAAAAACGAGAAAAAACAAACAAACAAAAAAAACAACATATACTATAAAAAGCTTTTTTTTTATATTTTATCTAAAAAAATTGTCAAACTGTAATTTCTGGATTGTACTTTTTATTTCAGTTTACAGAACTGTTTTTTTATTATTATTATTATTTCCATTTACAAAATGTACTCTTTGCTTGCAACAATAATGGAAAGAATTCACTCCATAAAAGTCCACCTGAGCAAAATATTTAGTTTCTTCTTTTTTTTTTATACTTTATGACATATTTTATCCATTTTGTTCCATATTGCCACTCAGTTTTCAATGATTATACCCGTCACATAATTTTATAAAGAGGGTACACTTTATCTTTTTAACCATTTAAAGCGTTAAATAATATACAGGAAATTCTATTCTTTTAAACTAGAATTATCATTAAATAATCTGACAAAAAAACAAATATCGATTATCTTTTCTACATAAAGGGTTTTTGAGATTTAAATATTTAATTTGACATTTATTTATAAAAAATATAATTTTATTTCATATTTGATTCATATTTGTTTAATAATGTATTGCATTAATAAATTATACATTTAATCATTTAATGGTACATTTATTCAATTTTACATTTGACATGTAATGCATCCAGTATTTTAGAACACTTCTGCTTTTATGACCTATTTATTTATTTATTTTTGTCCCCTTTAACCCTCCATACATATTTAATCAACTCTCTCAAACATTCAGTTACTTTCAGGATTTAAATGTTTTCCTCTTGTCTTAAAAAAACACTCATAGAGCTTAATATTTTTCTTAAAATAAGGAGCAGACAGACGTAGATTCTTATAGAGCTCATTGAAAAGCAACAACATCAATATGATTATTAGATTTTTAGATGAGTCTAAAAGTCATGTGAAAATCTACTAGTTTACTCTGACAGCATCATCTCCTCCACTTAAACAGAACTGTTTTGACAAATTTGTGCTTCTCTTAGCTTATTTGTGCTTCTCTGTACCCTACTTCCAGAAAACATTAATGTTTCTCAAATGAAGCTAAAAGGTAAAGCAGTGTTGCTTTAAATTCCTCAGAAAAGATAACATGTTTTAGAAAAAAAGAGTTGATTTAACACAACGTAATGATGTGAAATAAATGAGGCATATCTGGAAGGATGTACAGTTAGGGAAAGCGGTGACTTCATCTGCGGGGAAAACCTTTTAGGCCTTGGAGGTTATAAACGAATGACTTCACCGAGGATGTGTAACTCTGAGTGCTTTGGCTTTTATATCCAAATTATTCACTAAATGTGATAAAACAGCTGCAGATCTGTACATGTGGATCCAGCAGAGCTTCAGTAGTTCAGGCCTCTAAGAATCTGAAAGGAAAAGCTTGGTGGCTTTAGTGATGTTTGAGTGCAGCAGTCTGAATGATTCAAATTGGTGCCAAAAACCTTTCTCATACAAGCATGTGACTAACAGCAGATTGTTTTCCTTTACTTTCTTGACATCTAACGCTGCTCCTGGACTCCCCCAACCCCCCCACAGGGTAATGTGGAATACCTGCTGAAGTGGAAAGGATGGCCTCCAAAGTGAGTATGAACACCTACAGGATATCTGATCAAATAATAGCTTCAAATGGAAATTACATTTCAATTAGAAGAAACTGAATTTCTTGAAATTGAAGAAATTCTTTATATTAGGGCCAGGCTAGAGTTTATATTTTTTTTATAAATAGGAGAATAAAATCAGAACATTATTAGAATAATGATGTAAAATCATAAAGTCACATCATTAGGAGAATAAAGTCACAATATTACAAGAATAAAATCATCCTAACATTACGAGAATA